GGGATATGCCCATTACAAAACTGTCCTGCACCCCTGTTACTGTCAGTGTCCTGAAGCCTGAGAAGGAATACCAGTTGCTGTCCAATTATCTTAAGTTATTCTCCAGCATCTAGAAATCTCTCTGAGGAAACCACATTCACTTGGGATCAAGCAAGAAGGCAAATTTGCTTTCAACTTTAAAGAATGAATCCGCAGCAAATTTTACATGTAATGTATGAATTTAGAAAAACATAAACAAGGCTAAGAGTTTAAAACATACTTTCTCAGAAGTAGATACTGTAGCTTTAGATATTCAGGTGTGATATTTAACATTCTCCCTTTCCTAGATTATGGGTCAACCTATTTGGTGTGCATAAAAAATCCAAAGAGTGCACTAACCTTACCTTGAGTGGTAGAAAGTTTATCCTGTCTTACCATTGATTCAAAAGACCCATCTGTATAGCTGGTGAACCTAAGCCAACCATGTGTACTTTTTAATCAACAGAAGGTCACTTGAATCATGAATGGAGCTTTCTACAAAGCTAATAAGTGCAGGACAATCTTGAATTTTTGGAATACAAAAAGATATTCAATATTGGCATTTTAAGGGAAGATTTAACCAAGAATGCTTGCACATGAGGTGTTAATACTAATGTGCATTTCAAAACCAAACCCCCAAACGAATAGCAGTGAAAGATTGACTTTTTTTTGATGAATTATGATTTTTTGGTGTAGAGAAATAGTTTTACTTGAATGAACCACTTTATACACATTGCCCCTCCCTCTTTGTCTTATGAGACGCCTTTGACGGTAGGTGCTGTAATTTTCAGATTACTATAGCTGAGATGGTAAGCGACTTGCCTAGGGCCACAGCTGGCTAAGTTGTGGAAGACTTTCTATACATGACTCCACCTTGCTGCAAAGCTGTAAGCTCAACATTACCTTCATTAAGGACTCACTATTGAGTTGTAAGAGTTTTGAGAGTTTCTCTTTTCTTCAGTTTACTTATTTTCCCCACTATTCTTCTGGTCTTCTGAGTTGATCAAGATTTACCAGCCACCATAATTCAAACAATGGGGGATGATTGCTTGGAAAACTTTTAAGTAGAATAATATAAAGGCTCATAAAGATTCAGTCCTATTTTTAATTAATTTCAACATAGACTTTGAAGAACTAATGAAGGGAAAGCATCACAATGCTTCTTCCCCTGGCTTGTCAAGGACAGTCTTGCCAGCGCCCCCTAGGGATGGATTTTCCCATTAGCCAGGTCCCACCTATTTTCAGTCACCCAGAAGGAGAAAGATCTGGAGTAATGAACATTTCTTGGTAATTGTAGCTTTGACTTTTGTTTATCTCATGGGAGTGGCAGAAGGGGTAATTTGTGAGGGTAACTCTCTGGCTACTTGTGGTGGGGCACTAACTGTCCTCCTAAGTACAGCAAGGGAGGGACATCACTTTCTTTCAGTTAAGTGAGGCCAGATTTGGGTAGCCCTAGTATTTTTTTTAACACATAATTTGTACGTCTTGCTGCCAGGAGGCTCTAAACCACTGAGGGTACAATTATGACTGGCCCATCCAGCAGCATGGGAAAGTACCGTTGGGTGGTACAAGGCACCTTATAGGTCAGTCATGCTTGTACCCCCAGTGGTACAAACTGCCTGATGTGACAGTCATGCATGTACCATGCATGTTCAAGCTGGCAGGAATGTGTTAATCAGAAATGGGTGACTGAGTTGTGTCAGGGAAAAAAAAGGAAGATGTAGGGCCAGGGATTTAGCTCAGTGGTTTCGCCACCTGCTGCGCAAGCAGAAGGACCTGAGTTAGATCCTAGGTACCAAAAAAAAAAAGTCTTGCAAAAAATTATCTTAAAAATAAACTTTAAAAGTACAATTCATTAATAAAGGGGAAACATTTATCTAGAGGTCAGCAGGACAGGATGAGTTCCAACATGTGCCTGTAGAGTTTTTAAGATTCTGAGTGTGGTAATTTGGTTGTATGAGCGGGACTCCTGAGGCAGTACACGCTCTTAAATCACATTTTAGTATCAAATGTGACATTTACAAACGGCATTAGACTTTTAGGAAAACCAATCATTTTGTTCGAAAACTTTTCTCCCTGTGCATGTGTGTAAATTTAGAAATATCCAGGTATTGGTGTCCATGTAGGGTACCTAAAATATAATTTCGTAGGTACAGAATCATTAATCAGTTGAAAAGTCGTGATTCCTGCTATCTTCTTGGGTATGTCTCTTCCTATATGAGAGCCGTAGAAATCAAGATTTATTGTATTATAGCTTGTTTTCCCCCAAATATTACCCTCATGAATGATGTTACCTGTTTATAAATTCCTTGGGGAATCTCTTTTTCTTTGCCATCTCATAATTTACTTAATTCACTTGGATGAACAAGGAAAATAATTCTGGAATGTCTAGTATCTTAAAGACATGACATGTAACTGAGTTACTCTGTGCTATCCTAATGTAGTAGTGCCAGCTTTATATTTCCATACCCCATCATATTGGAAGGGACACCTGAGACACGTGGAAGCTGCTGAAGCACCCTAAAATCAGTAGTGAGGGGGACCCAGAAAACATACAATGTAGCATCCAGCTTAACCTTTATATAACATGGCATCCTTTTCTGAGAGAAGATGGTGGTAAGCTCATAATGTTTAGAATCTTTTGGTTTTCACATCTGCAAGATGGAGCTAATACTTGCCTATTAGGGCTGCTGTGAAGAGTCAATACAAGACATGAGAGCATTTAACATGATATTAAGCATGTGGTAAGAAATTAAAGTTGACTTAAAATTTCTTTGGTGACCATCTAAGATTACATAGGCTCTAAATATTTGTTTCTATGTCATAGGCATTGAAGTCAAAAGACTGAGGCAGACACATGCTAGCTATGATTCTAGGGCTTACCATGTAATCCTTTAAGCCTTCTTAACTATACAAGGTGACATGATTACCTAAGTGTCATACTTAGGCCTCATTAGAAAGGTGTAAGGGAGAACACTTGGGTCAGGGTCACATGGATTTTTATCCTCATCAAGTGAAGTTACCTGTAACTGTCCCTGGTAAAGTCACTTACCAGTTCCTGGACTGTACTATAAGAGACAGGCCCTACATCTATAGTGATAATCAGTAGTGATGTCTGTCCAGTACATACTAAATGCTGCACACCGTGTTAAGCTCTCTGAGTGAATCTCTCTTAATCTCTGCCATGATTAGTCGATGAGACAGTCCCCAACATTTCCATCTGACAGGAGGGCTTGGTAACTTGCCAAGCTACCACATAAAAGACCATCACAGAAGTTTGTCCTGTTAAATGTGCAGCCTGCTGCTTCACAATAGAACCACCTGGCCTCCCAGAAAACTGCTTTGAAATGACCCAAGGTCCCCTGCAGAGCCCACAACCCCCACACTCTCCCTGACTTATTCTTGCCTTAGTGTCCACAGGTGGAAGGGGACCGTGTCAGTGGTCCTACTTCAATCCCAATTCTCAGATAAACCAGAAACATGATGGTTTCAGGAGACACCATGGGAAATGGGACTCATTGTATCTACGAATCTCCCAAAGGTCATATCTGGCTTACGTTCAGTTTTGTACTAATGAAGGAAGATTGGAATGAAGTATATACAAATACAGGTGATTATCCTTCATGTAAATTTCTTTGAGCTGTTAACCTCCATGCTAGATTTGAGAGAAATAAGTTTATAAAATTGTTCATCTTCAAATTAATTCCTCCTGTACTTGAAAACAAGGTGCCTTCGAAGATTTTTCTAGACTTCTATTTATTCTACAACTCTCACAATTTAGGACCATAATATGGCTGAAACATGTATATACACCTTTCAGTTTTCTTAAATATTGAGCTTAAAACAGTATATTATAAAACTGAGGGGCTTAGATTTAGAGATCAGGATTAGCAGGTATATTATTTATTCTTAAATCTAAATTAGCAAAAAGATCTGTGATTTTCTGTTTTTTAAGTTTTATCACTATTAAAAGGAAGGAGTACAGGTTTCTTTGCATTTAAAGCAACACATTATTTGCTTAGGAAAGATTTCACTTGGTAAGAATTCTAGGTAATCATTCCAGTTGGACTATATACTACAAGAGAAACCCTTCAAGAGAACCCCCCATGAATCTTCTGGTTTGGGGTGAAAACAGTTAAGAGCTGGACTTTAGATTAGTCTGCAGCTTCTGCTATGTACTTAACAGAAGCATTAGTCCTTTAAATGGTCCCTAGTGCTGCTGCTCAAAGCCTGTCTTCTCATTTTTGAGAGAGCCTATCAGACTTCCAAAGATAGAAAGAGAAAAAAGGAGAAACTGCCAAATTTGAAGCCTCAATATTTTTTTGCTGTGAGTTCAAGAACCAGAGGCTGAGAAATGATACCAAGACTTTAAAATATCTGTAAGGTATTGTGACCTACTGGGACTACTTCTTGCCAAACAGAAGATAGCTTGCAAAGAGGCTACTTAAAAATTTGGTCTCAGAGACTTGCCTAGATTTCTTTACCAGGGCCCACAAATCTGTTGATTTTTCTGTTATTTATAGCAATTCCTAAAATCTCTGGAGGACCCACTTTCAGTTGCTTTCTATAAAAGGCTCATATAAGGGCAAATATCTTCCTTTAGTGTTTGATAAGCTTCACATTTTACCTCTTAATAAGCTTTAGAGACAGCAACCTTATGCCAACACATCTCATATTGGATTCTTTAAAATTTTGCTAGGGTGATAAAGCCTAGGGTGGTAGTCCCTTATGAACTATTATTACATACTGACTTGACTAACACTCTAGCTATGTGATTCTTCTTATCTCAATATAACTATTTAGTTACTTCATTTTTTTCCCAAATGAATTTGTATCTCTTAAATTACGTACAATGAGTTGTACCTTGGATTTTTACTGAGGACAAGGTAAAAACAATGAGATGTCTTAGACTCTTCCAGGGTCATAAATTAGTACCCAGAATCTGAAAGAACACATAGAATGGATTATAAGCCTAAAGAAGATGACAGAGAATAATGCTTTATTTTATTTGCAAAACTACGATTTTGAGTCTTATAATTGATTAACATTGTATATCCTTATAATAGGGGAAAACACTGGTATCTTTAAGCTTCTAAAAGAGCATTTGGTATTACATTAAAAAAAATATATCAGCGGTTTTAGTACCATAGCAGGGTCAAAGCACCAAAGAAATACTTCAGAGTTTACGTATGATAAATACCAACCTACTTACCCAACAGGCACTTCAGCTGGTCCCTGTCTCAGCAAGGTGTATGCACTGTTCATTATGATGAGTACTTATAGGGTAAGAAACAAGTAGGCAGCAGACAGTCCTACCTCAATGCCTCCAGGCTTTTCCTTCTGCATGGTTCACCTCCATACGTCCCATAAAATAAAGGTCCAAGTCTAGCCTTTCTCTTTCCCATTCATTTGACCAAAATCGCAAAGGAGTGTTCATGAGGTAACAAAATCAGCTTCCTCTTCATATACAATTATTGATCTTCTTACCTAAGCCAAAAGAAAGAACGCCTTCTATTCCATATGCAGGTGTATTATGAATGTTCCATCGATCCATGTATCTAGCCAAACATCTTCTGCTCATCTTCTTGCTGTTGCACTTGTCATTAATTCCAGATGGATCACTGCACCTTCCACAGTAGACTCCCCACCTACAATGGATCTACAGCATCTTCTCAGTGTTTCAAGCTTTGCATCTTTGCTTCCAGACATCTGGAGACTTTATAGTAAGGAAGTGATGACCAACCTCACCATACTCAAACTCCTTTTTTATTCTTCATACTAAAAGTTCCAGAAATGGCCCACAGAAGGAATCTGTCCTAGTCTAGCCAGGCTGACAATTTTGAAGATACTACAATGGTAGTAGAACATTAGAGCAATGATTTTCAAACTTTAGGTGACATCAGTATCATGGGAAGAGCTTGTGAAAATGTAGACTCCTGGGCCCCAAGATCAGAGTTTCTAATTCAGTAGGTCTGGGAGGGAGCCTCAGAATGTGTATTTCTACAAGCTCCCACATGATATGGATGCTGCTGCACCCAGGACCACACTGAGAACTAACACCTTAGACTCAAGAATGATGGTGGTTGTTGTCCTTCCTGACCATTTTCATAGTAAGACAGAGTAGACTTTCATAAGAAGAAAGCCCTTCCCTATGCCTTAGAAGGCACTTGTCCTTGATCTACATATGACAGAATATGGAAAACAGAGAATTGTGTACAAAGCAGGAGAATTAGAAATTTCCGCACATGCTTCTAGATCAAACAAATGAAAGAAAAAGGGAGTTCTGTAATCAGGAGGAATTCTGGGTACAGACTAAGGTAGTATCTTTTACAAAATAAGAAATATTTGGAGAGAAAATGTTAAATAGTACCTTGTCTTTAGTTAGTACTTGGTTGAGAGAAGCTTGCCCGATTACAGGCTTAGTACACAACAACATCAAGAGCGGCAGCTCATACATTTAGTTAGAAGACTTGATGCTACTCAGGCTGTTTTTAACAATTCATCTTAGAGGAACAGGCACAAACCATGGTTAAGCTGCTTGATTTAATTTTTAGCACTTGAAAAAAAATGTACAGCAGTTTTTTGAACACTCAGTCTTTGTAAACCTCAACTGAGGTCAAAGATCTCATTCTTACGTACAAAATTAGTTTACAAATTTTTTGGCAATTTCATCTTAGTAACCCGTTTTATCCTATTGCCATTGTCCCAACCATTGAAAAAGTTTACAATAATTTACATAGAAATATTTTCAAAGTGCTTAAGAATAGTGATTGTTCTCTGGGATATTTACAGATGGCCTATACATTGTATATACAGGTGGTATACACTATAGCACAAGTTTCATTGCTGGAATATGGCTTTCTAGGGAAAGTGCATATTTGGCCAGAGGTGGCAATACTGTCTAAAAATTCAAGGGTTACAGACACTTGGTAACCACATCCAAAGCTGAAGTAGAATGTGGACAAGAATATTTACAAAAATAATATAAAAATGGTCAAGTATACAAGCTTGATCCACACCAAGGTATCTCAATGTTCTTCCAGATGGGAGGAAGAAACAGACTTCAGCTGCGGGCTGGGTTACTGTTCCAAAGTGGCTATTACTGCTTTAAACCTCAACGTCAAGCCAGGTCTCAGAGGTCAAGCTAGATCATCATCTGTGCTTACGACTGATATCTGTGGAAAAGAAAAAATTCAGAGTGAGTTCAGTGATCCCTCATGGGTGGCAACTCTGGTCTCTGAAGTGCACTCTGCTTTTGAGTTAGTTATTCAAAGACCCAAAGTACTTAGGAGGGAAGTCAAAAACGAAACAGAAGTGAATGGTACCATGCATGCATTTAACTTGATTTCAACTCCCTAGCCTGAAAAATCTGAAATGCTCAAAAATTTCAAACGTTTTAAACACCAATGACACCACAAATGGAAAACTTCACACATAACCTCATGTTACAGATGCATTGCAGTCTAAATGAACATGAACGTGTGCTAAAACTACTGTATAAAATTACCTTCAGGCTATGTGTACAAGGTGTACATTAAATAAATGGATTTTGTGTTCAGACTTTGGTCCCATCCCCCAAACAATTCATTATGTATTATGTATATGCAGTAATTCCCAAATCTGAAAAAAATCCCAAATCTAAAACACTTCTGGTTCCAAGTATTTTGGATAAGGGCTACACAACCTGTACCTACTTGGCAGAGAGTAAAAATAGTATGACTGATTCTGCAGATTCTATATAATGATCATAGCCCTTGGGAAAAAAAATCTGAAAAGACACAGGTGTGCTACAAACTGACCACTATTACATGCGTCTCCAGAGAGCTCAAGAGGGGAGTGCTCGGTACATTTTGTTCAGCTTGTTCCTTAGTGAAGGCCAAATACTCATTCGAGTTTCCATTTGAAGGACAAATGAATGACTCCATCTCTGAAAGACAAGCTAGCTACACTAGGCAGAAAGGGGTACTTTTCTAAGTAAAATAAATCAATACTTTTGGTTATACTGATTTAAGCCAACTCGTTCATATACATATATTCCCTACATAAGATGATTTATGTACCCAGAACTCAAGGATTTCACAGTTTTAAAAGAAGCTACTTGGTTTGTGCTAGTATTTACATGCTGTTTTTGTAACAAACATACTTCAAATACCGTAGTACAGAAATGACCTTAAATTGACCTACTTGCCGTCTTGTGTGGATGAGATGCTTATCAACTGACTGACTTATGTTCTAAGAGGCTAGCCTGTCTACTATATGATCCTAATGGCTATTCCTAGCCCAAGCAGCCATAGCTCAAGTTAGTGGTCTCCTTTAAGAAGTGTCTCACTTCAAGTCACGGTGTATTGAGACACAAAGCTGACTTACTGCTGGGTACGTGTGTCCAACAGAAGCACTGTGTCTGCCGATGTCTATTGAGAGGTCTTCTTCTGTGGTCTTCAAGTACACAGGATTGTCAAAGTTCATGCTCTTCATGTTCTTGTTCTGCCAATTCCTCCACATCAGGTAGCCACCTACTGCTGCCATTGCTAAGAGTACTGAAAAAAGTTAGAGGATGATAAAATGAGGTCTGGTTCTGAACATGTGCAAAAGGTAATGTTCAGGGATCCACGGCCACTGACATTAATTAGTAAAAGGTCCAAGTTTTAGAGAGCTGGGATAGCTAAAAGTTGGCATATAAATGAGCCAGAAGGCAATAATAAGCTTAGCTCAGTGGTTGTGTTATTCTGTGTACTAGAAGAGAACTAGCTGCATCCAGCCATGCAAGCATAAAGTCCCAGGCCCCACCCCAAGGCCAACTAAATTAAAATTGCAGATGCTTCTGGAGTGTTATTTAGGTGTTTCTGGTGTTAAATAAGGTTGGAAGCAAGTAATCTTGGATAAAGAGACCATTAAAGCAAAGTGCTTTAGTTTATATGTCTGATAATAGCTTCAGAAGTCCTCTTCCCTGGGCTTGAAAATCCTTAACTACTTTTCATTCACCCTCTACAAGTCCTATAACTCTTCAGAAAAGCTTTTAAACATTTGTGCATCTTCTCTGCATGAAGCAGCAGAAACATTTCAAAGGAATAGGATTCTTGTTAAAGGGACTTACGGTACACGGGGCTAGGCCAGCCTTAGGACTCTAAAGTAGAAGGCAGTAAGCACCTTTTATGTAACTGCTGAACACTCAGCGCTGAATAAACTAAAGAAAAATATGGAGCCATAGTGTGCTGGGTGGGGGAGGGAATGTGATTTGGTGCTGCAAGGGCTATGACAGTGTATGGGTAGGTGAGTCCAGGAGAACTGGAAATGTCCATTTGTTATCTGAGAAACTTATCAGATCCACACACAAAGGGAATCTACTTACAGAGGGGGAGGATGGCCCAGGCAGCAGAAGTTCCTTGTGGGGGAACACTGACCTCTGGTATTGCTGTGGTCACATTGATCCCTACAGGAGAAGAAAAGGAATCAATTTATAAGGACCCGAATCCAGACTCAGAAATCTACCCACCAGGTGGAGACCCTTGTACCTTTGCATCCCATCCTGATGTCCAATGTCTTCCACAATTATATACCCCAAAACACTCTGGCCTGGAACTATCTAAGTCCCATGCTCTAAGAGTCATTTCATTAACAGTGCCATAATAGAAACATTAATAAGTGGGGGTAATCTAGGATATGAGGTTCCAAGTCTTTGGAATTTAAATACAGGTTACCAATAAGGGGCAGAGCTAGTCGTTAAAGGTTGAATTAATTGTTTAAGCTATAAAAATGTGGCTGTTAGTTGTGATTAACAGTTTGCAGTACTGAGCCAAATACCTCCAAGAACTAGTCCACTAGTTGGTAGAATTTCTGTTGTGTTGGTATCTTTTGACTCCCTGTAAGCCACAGTGGTTGCAGTACCTGGATTATAAAAACCAAGAACCTGGTTAATGCCAAGGTTCCTGAATGGCTAGCTGTTTCGTTCAGACAAGCCATGCAAAAGGTTATTTTAATACCAGGTGCAAGGGACCTAAGTTGCCTAGTGGATGCATCTAAATTGAGAGAAATAGTCTTTATGCAAAAATAGAGATACATGAAACTGAGGACTGAACAGTCAGAGTGTAGAATTTGCGAATTCAAAAAGATGCACAGCCACACTTAGCCATTCTTAACAATATTCCAGACTCCTGGAAGTTACAAGAAACGTCTTCTAGATTCTCCAGTGTAGCAAGCTCACCAAATTGTCTTGCAACTACTTTCTCAGCAGTGACTTAGTCCCTGTCATGTCACAGAATTAAGCTCATAAGAGCCTCATCATGAGTTCCTTGCTCACAAGTTTAATTTGCCACTTAATTGAAAGCTAAGAAAAAAAGATTGAAATGCAAGTTCAGTTCAAGCTACTATTATCCACTAGCCCAGTGGTGGTGAACCTATGGCACACATGCCACAGTGGGTTGTCTGTTATCACTGAAAGCTGTAAAAGGTTTGCCATCACTGCTATAGGCCATGAGGTTTCTTGTAAGCAAGGCCTCCCTTAAGAATAACTTCAGCCTGCCTTCTATGGAAGGAAATGTTAAGACTTTGTTTAGTTATCTACAAGTCAGCTAGCTCAGTGCTGTTATGGGACTAAGGGGGTACAAATTGGCATGAGGTATGTTGATTTCTTAGTGACCTATAAATTCACCTAACATTGACATGGATTACAAGTTAGGTCTAAAGTACCAACATGAACATCTGACATGCAACAGTAGAGGGTATGTTCTCAAATTTATTCTAAGAGTTAGCTAAAACAGAATTCCAGGCCAGTTTCTATAGCTACTGGTTTATATTGCCTCTGTGTGTCCTCCCTGTTTTGAAACACGAAAAGCCTTACTTTGGCACTGTCGCCCATTTTCCTCCAGACTGTACCCACTGGGACAGGAGCAGGTATACTTTGGAGAGTGTTCATTAATCTGTGGTGCTGGCAGGCACAGGTATTCACATCCTCCATTCTCCATGTCTTCATCACACCAGTTTTTACCTACTCAGAAAAAAGTCCTTCAATATAGGTATTCCAGGGCCTACTATACAGAAACTTCTGGATCCATAGAGCTTATACTTATCTACTCTGTTGAATCTTCAAGTGAGAGTAATATCAATGGAAATTAGGTATTAGGGCAGAGGCAGCAAGCTCTAAGGACACGAGGCTCAGGAAGACTTCAGGTAGAATAAGAACTACAGTATGTCCAGAGAAAAGTGCCAAAGGTAGAGGTGGAAAGGGAAGGGAGGAGAGGGAAGGAAGGAGGCAGACGGTGAGAGAGTGTACTCGCACAAGATCGGCTCTCATTATTCATCCAAGGCTAGAATGAAAGCTCAGAAGGAGGTCACATGTGTTCTGGCTTTACTTGACTCGTTCTTACAAAGCAGAAGGGAGCTTAGCTGCTGGAGATTTGCGATGGGCCAGGTGAGTGTTTTGGGAAGGAGAATATATGTGTTTGAGGATCTGTACAATCCTGTATAAGAAGTGTCATAGTGGGGAGGGAGGTGTTATGGGTTGAATTGTGTCCCTTCCTAAAACTTGCATAGTGAAGTCCTAATGGCCAGTACCTTTACAGGCATAATCAGATTACAATGTGGCCAGAAGAGTTGGCCCTATTCCAGTATGACTGGTTTCTTTCTTAGAAGAGGAAATTTGAACATATCGTGGGTAGAGGGAAGATGATATGCACAGGCAAAGGGAGATGGCCATCTATAAAAGGCAAGGAGAGGTGCCTGGGACAGATCCTTCCCTCACAGTCCTCAGAAGGAACCAAGCTACCCAATCCTTGATTTTGGACATTTAACCTCCCGAACTGTGAGGCAATGAATTTCTGTTGTTTAAGACACTCATTTGTGTACTTTGCTTTGGCAACCCTAGAAAATGAATAGCAGAAAATGTTTGTGGCATAAAAGGCTACTAGGAAGTCTGTTGCAAGAGGCTTAGCAAGAGGGATGGATGGTCAAGGGGATATGGAAGAAATAGAGACAAAAGCTCTGACATGGAGAGTCAGAAGGCAGCTATGAGCTGATGTTCTGAAGCTCTCTCATGGAGATGGCAGACATAAGGTACCAGCCATGGAGTGTGTAGTATGTGAGGTGGGGAACAGGAGGGCAGAAGCTCCATTGTAAGGAAAGTGGAACTGGTAAAGAATGATTGACACCCAATAGGTTTTGGGTCATGCTGCTGCCTTATGGTGTCACTAAAGATTGCACTTCTCCACGTTACCTGATGGCTGTACAAGTTCATGATAGACGATGATGTCTTGAGCATCATTAAGGTTGTTGACTAGAGTAGCCAACTCTGATCCAGTGAATTTATTGGCACCATAAACTGCTTCATTTTCCCCATCTATCCAGTACACACGATCCTGAAACAGAGCCCTTGTGGTTAGTATATACCCCTACAAGTGAATTATCTGAGATCATCATTACTTTCTGGCTTCTTCATGGACTAAGGTTTATATCTAATGACATATTAGATTATAAAACTATAAGAGAAGCAAATAAAGGTTTCTCAAAGTGCTTCGAGGAATTGCTATTCAATTTGTACTGGATTTTAAGTGAAAGTAGGTTTTCATGGTGTCCTATGATCTTCCCTCCTTTCTCTATGCCTCATCTTTCTCCTCCAAGTCTCTAGCAACTTAGATGTGCAACATACATCTTACCTCAAATATGGTTAGGGCAAGAGGGTGAGCCAGGAACTCCAGAGACTTTAGGACTATCCTGCGATCTTGGCCATTCAAGTCCACACTGGAAAGCATGTGCAACTTGGAATCAAGCCAGTAGAGGCGGCTTTTTATAAGGTCTAGGTAGAAAAAAAAAATAGTCATTATATGGTAGTGATTACTGTTCTGGCTTCCATTTAAAATAGCTGAGGAATCTAATATACTTTCCTGGTTCCTTTTGCATCAGGGGTTCTTAATGGGGATCCCACAAAACTTGTGAAGCTGCATACAGAATCTGTATCTACATTCATTTGGAGGACTAATGGGGGTATCTAAAGATCTCAAAGTAACTACCTTAGGAAATGTGACATTGTAGAAAGCATTAAAAGAGGCTAGCATTTTGGTCCTTTATCTGGGATGAGCCAGATCCAAAACGTTACAAGATTACAGTTCTGGAAATGCTAAGGACCTTTGCAGGGAGAATTCAGTGTTCACTGAATTTGTGTCACATGTTGACCAGAATGGATAACTAGTCAGTCAGTCATTATGGAGCATGTAATTGTTAATTCCATCATTCTACTTGTGATGTTCAGTTACTCTTATACAAAGTTCCTGCTATGGAAAGAATCAGGACAGTCATCTGGTGTAGTCCAGAATTTCTGATGGAGAGGAGTTGAAACACTCTGAAGATGGTTACACTCGTGGGCAAGAACAGCATACATACCAAGGGTAATTCCGTTAGGCCACTGGATGTCCACAGTCACCAGTGGGCGTCTATCAAATCCATTCATTCCTGCTTTTTCTATTTTAGCTGGTTCACCCCAGTCTGACCAGTAAACAAAGCTAGGAAGAATCAAACCAGAAATATGCCTTTGAGGTTTAGAAGGAATAAAGTCATAGCTTGAAGCAAAAGTTTAAAGTTTAAACAGGAAACTCGAGAAATTGATTCTCCAGAGACGCATAGTGACACTTAGGGGTCTAAATTATGTTCAGGGTAAACAAAATTTAACACCAAGAATCTACAAACTCATTATCAACTGTATTAATCTGTATCAGTCGGACTCTTAAATTTCAGCCCAAAGTCACAAGGTTAAATATATTCCTTTATAAATGGAGAACTCTTTGAGAGGAGTAAATAAATATCATTTAATAGTAGATGCTGGCTGATTATGTTCAAATGATACTTCACAGAGGCCAGTTATAATTACTCTCTCCCACTCTGCTAGGCCCTCTGCCTTACACCTCCTTACTGCCTTATTTCTTTAGTCTTTGTGATCTGCCTACACTGCTGTTAGTCTCTGTATGTGTATCTCATAATTACCTGCTCAGAGAAGTTGCATCTAATTGGATCAGATACTCTTCAATCTAAAGTGCCTCTGAGCACCGAGGATCTTATGTCAGTTACCTCTCGGGCCATTGACCAGCCTGAAGGAGGATGGCATGTGTAGTCTACTATGCCCTGATCCAGCCAACTGTGCCCAAGTTAGACCCCTTACAAAATGTAGGACACAGTGATTTGTGGAAGTGCTGGACATTCCCTTTCTCATGGGGCAGGGGCGGGGACAGGGCGAACAGCCTTTCTACCCATTTCAGAGATCTCTCTCAGAAAAGAGGAGAAAACAAAATACCCTACTGTGGAGCAAGAGAACATTATAAATTTCATTGCAATTTTCCAAATTATTTATTATTTGATCCTGAGTGGTTTTCTACTTGATTGAAGTATTCATTGAAATAAGAAGGTGATAGCATTTAATGCCACTCTCTCTATAATTTTTTTTTCCTTAACCATGTTCCAGAATGGTAAAATATTAAAGAAAGTATTTATTTGTATTCAGTGATTGTGAATAGTTTCTGACGTCATGTTACAGCCATTCAAGGTTTTTCTTTAATCACATTCTAAAATGATAGAAAATTAAAGATGAATCAGGCTTTATGAATAAGCTTTGTTGCTCTTGTTCCCTTTACCTTAAAAAAAAAACCACCACACAATAACAAAAATATCACCCTTAGTCAAAGTTAGGGAAACCCTTCAATGAAATGTTTCTAGGAAAGTCTGATTATTTCAACAGAAATTTCGAACAAATTGCATTTCTAAATGGAAGCCTTGAAGCAATGTGATTATCAAAATCTCAATATTTCATGCTACTATTTAGGTCTGCTCATCCATAGCTAACCCAGCAGCATATTCAGCCAAAAAAAGTCACTTGTACAGAAGTTGGTTAGGCATAAGTCTTCAAAGTTTCAAACACAGCTTTGGGCATAAACACATGAGATCATAGAGGGGGACATTCCATCATGGCACTACTGACATCCTGAACCAGATAATTCATATTTCTGATAAGTCTTGGGACGTGTGACAGGAAACAGAATACAAACCCAGACAATGGGTCCACAGCTATGGAGGCAGGTTCTCGCAAGTCAGAATTAAACAGGAACTTTCTCTTGGTCCCGTCTAGGGTAGCTACTGAAATAGTCTTAGAAGCCGCATCAGTCCAGTAGATGGTCTTGTACACCCAATCAACAGCAATGGCTGCAGGATTATAGACATTGTCGATCATTTTAACATGTCTACCAACCTTGTCATCAATTGAGGCACTGAAACAGAATAGGTCACAAGAAATTTATGAGTTCGTCACCATTAGAGCCTGGAGAAGGAGCTTTCTGCCTATGAAATGGCCAGGGACTTTCTTTATTCAGAAAGGCTAACATCATAGCTAATAACATCATGGCTAATAACATCGTAGCTCACCACTCATGCTGCTTGCTGATGTTGAATTAGTAATACTAGTTTACTAGGTTTTCTAGGTGCTGATATTTACTCTGTGTACAAACAGAGCAAAATTCTAAGTGAAGTTATTTGTTTCAGTAGCCATCATGTGAATTCTCTACAGTTCCCATTTTGAAAAGCTGCTACTACCATTTCTATTTGTAGCAATAAGAAGCAGTTCTCAACTGCAAAGAAAGGGAGAAAATATGAGAAATGAAGGTATCATCTGCTGCAATCTTCCTTCTGTAATCACCTTTTACTTCATAAAGGTTAATTTCTAATTACAAACTGACAGTAACTTAATAGTTAAAGAATCGTTATGAGATTTAATTTTCTAAGGTAAGTAAATGCTAGTCGGAGGCAAAGATAAGAGAACCCCTTCCACATCTTCCCACAGGCCAAGTGACAGTGACTTATGCCAAGAAAAGGGAATGGAACTGAAAGTTACCTGAAGATGGCCTTTTGGCTCAGATCAGCCCAGAACAGTTTCTGAGCAGCAATATCGGCATCAAGAGCCACAGTGTTTCGTAGCTGCTCAACTAGTTGGATATATTCTTTCCTCTCTAAACCAATCTTCCTAATGTCTCTTCGGTTAGTAAAGATCAAACTTGGTTCTTTTCCTGCAAGACAAGAGTTAAGGGGACTCAGCTTTTCCATAAGAAGGGAAGGTTCTTCTAAGTCATCTCCTTTCGACAGAGGAGCACTTACAAAGTAAAGGTACTGCTAAAAGCAGTAGCACCCAGTCTGGAGTTTTTGGCCCTGGGACCTCAAATTGCTTCCCACGTTCTAGGAAGGCAGTCCTGATGTTATACTGTTCAACAATAGGGCGGCTGATGAACAAGTTACCTTTAAGAATTGGACTCAGTTTCAGAAGCAGAAAGTAAGCAAACCTGGTAAGCGTTCATGTTATCATATGCAAAAGGAAAGCCCACGGCACATGCCTGGGGAGATGACCTGCTATTTCACCTATCCTATTGCACTAGGAGTGTAGTAGCATTGCTCTCAAGCGCTATTTAATTTCATATCTGGTTTGACTGTTTCTATCACTGGCTGTACCTTTTATAAGCACTTACTCATAAAGGTACCAGAGCAACACCAGTCCAAGTCCATTTACCTACTGCCTTGCACACGCCAGTGGCAAGATCCATTTGATAGCCACGACTACATTCACATTTGTAACCGCCTTTTAAGTTGATACAAATTTGACTGCAGATTCCCGGATTTTGGCATTCGTCAATATCTAGGAGGGAAATTAGAATTAGTCTTGCTAGATGTACACTGCCTCACGTACCTTCCTAGATGTACACTGCCCTTTCCCATCTCCCCAGGGGGCCAGGTTACCTTCTTCAACTCACCTCCACAGGTCTTCCTATCTATCAGCTCAAACCCAGCTGCACAGTCACATTCGTAGCCTATGACTAGGTCTTTGCAGATGTGGGAACATCCACCATTATTTATCAAGCATTCGTTAACATCTGGAATAAGAATAACAGCCAAATCACTTGACAATTTATTCTCAGGTGGTATTTGTCTTGTTACATTTAAAATCCAGGTTATTTGTGATAACTTCTCTAGCTGGCCCATTCAAACCCATGATTTTTCTAAGCACTAATGATTTGTTTTATAGATAATCTCCACATCTATCCTAAGATGTGGATGTAGATATTAACCTCAAAATCCTTGGCAAATCATCAATGAATTAAGCAGTATTTAGTCAAATTTCTCTATTGCTAATGAACTATCTTTTAGGAGGTTAAATTATAAACTAGTTTGTTAGTGTCTAGATTTTCGAGTCACAACATTTTGATCTCAAGCCTAACAGTTACATTTGGGTTCATTCAGAGTTTAACCAAGCACCCCAGGTCCAAGCAGCATAAGCCATTCTGGGCTAAATTAATCTTCCCAGCTCTGTCCCAAACAACCCTTCACTTACGACATTCCTTCAGGGGCTCATCACTCCAGTCTCTGCAGTCCTGCTCCTGGTTACAAACTTTGATCATATCTATGCATTCACCACTTCTGCACTTGAATTTTCCAGGGCCCAAGCACTGATTGGCTGCAAGGAGAAACAGAGAAGAGTTTCCACTGGTGGATATGATCAAAGCAATCCCTCCCCTAACCAACATGAAGAACCCTTATGCACCATTTTTGCAGTTGACTTCATCAGAACCGTCAACACAGTCTCGGATGCCATTACACTGCCTGCTGCCATGGATGCAGCTTCCATCCTCACATTCAAACTGGTCAGGTCGGCAGGTTCGAGAAGCTATGAAGGAAGGGAACAGCATGGAATGAAGCCAGCCAATGTATCCTCAGTTGATACACAGAAGAGAACAGAGCGTGCCACGCTGGGAAGAAAGTGACTTACGACAGTTAACCTCATCGCTGCCATCTTTGCAATCAGGATCCCCGTCACACCGCCACTTTTTGTGGATGCACTCGCCGGAGCCGCACTGGATCTCACTGGCTGGACACTTGGTGTGCATCACTGGCTGGCGGCCACACTGCTCAAGGGACTCATCAGACTGGTCTGAGCAGTCTGCATCATCATCACACACCCAGCTGAGGGGGATGCATGAGGAGGTGCTGCACTGGAACTCGTGGGCACTGCAGGTTGGTGGGGCACAGTCGAGTTCGTCGCTGCCATCGTTACAGTCGTCCTGGCCATTGCACACAAAGTTTCTGGAGATGCAGCGGCCACTGGAGCAAGTGAACTCATCAGGGCTACACGTTATGTTGCCTGCCAAGAGAGAAGATGCCCCATTGAAAGGGCATCAGCATCGATTTTGCACAAGACTTCTGTCCCAAAATCAAGTATCTTGATCTTTGATCATTCATTTCCTAGCTTAGCTTAAAAGGAATGGTGGAATTACGGCAAGAATAAATTCCTGGGATATGAAGAAAAAAACAATCTCACTGTGTAAAAAAAATTGCAAGCACACTATGAATAAGAAAAGAACAGAAATAAAGGACCAAGAAAATGGCTAAAGACTAGAAATTAATTTGAGACAAGAACAACAATTGACTCATAAAGGGATAGTGATCAATAACTTATAGAGAGTTATAAGCAATTTCACTTTAGAAGGCAGGACTGAGTTATGCCTAACTCAACATACTGCATGTCAGGCCAGGCTAGCTGAGAATATCATGCGTCAGGCATAGAGGCTATATAATACAATAGTCAGTAAGGTGCTATATCTAAAAAGAAGTAAACCATATAGCACTATACATGGTTCTTTCTTTTTTGATCCTTTAAATGAAGATGAGGAATAAGAAGTCTTAAACACTTTTAATTTTTAAGAAGTCACTGCCAGGGGTACAAACACAATCTTGCAATCAGGTCTGAAGGTAGTAAGGAGCTAGTCATATTAGCTGGTTTGTACTTCAACTTAAATTCCTGCCAAACATATTAAGGTCACAATTTGATGGTAACTGGAACGCAGACCATGACTCTCTTGGGAAGCAAAGTCTAGATTTATGAGGGAAATACTTGGCAGCTACAGTGCTTACCAATACATATATAGTTCTACGATTGAACACTAAAACTCATTGGACTAGGTGCAGTGGTATTGACCTCAAGAGATGATTTCTACATGCAAGACTGGTGTTCCAATTGCAAGGGCCCTGGTGGCCACAATCCTCAGTGTTGGAAGCTGGAGGTTTTAGAGGCCCTATATAAAGTGCGGTAGCTTGAAAGATCTCTCAAACCAATGTTTATTCAACCTAGAGACGTTTCCCAGGGCTTCACCTTTAAGATGTAACATTTTACTATGAATTTTCCAAGAACAGAAACATGAAAGAATAGGAAACAGTTTGCTTTCAGAGATAGGAAGCGTAACAGGGGACAAAGGTTGGCTAGACTTTTCTTTATGCACTTGCTAGCAACCTGTTAATACATGTTTCCCTGCCATTTGGGGATAAGAAATGCTTGTATAATACTCAAGTAATTTACTCCAATAAGTCAACCTATTTAAGATCTATGGATGTGTTTGCTGGGCCTACTTGCCTTCTAGCTTTCCTAAGTCAAAGTGAGGAAGGACCATGAATTACTGTCATAACAGAGACAAAAGCCATATAATTGCTGCTTCACTGAGCTACTGAGAAATGTAACTGCCCGGAAGGACTTACCGTCTTATTTCTATTTGCCTAAAAGAAACACTAAGAAATGGCTAATTGCCATGAGAACATCTTTCTGAGTTTTAGGGCAGTTATGAAGGACAAGCATTGAGCAGACAGTGAAGTCACTGAGAAGTGAGTCAATGTTACTGCATCTTCATGCTTAATTTAGGTTCCCTTGCCCACCCTTCTTTGAGGAAAGGGGTCTTTGGGATATGCACTCCACACTGATCTTCTTACCACAGTTTTCTTCATCTTCTCCACTGTCACAATCACTTTCACCATCACATCTCCAGGACACTGGGATACACTGAGTAGAACGGGCACCACAGCTGATTTCATTTATGCGGCATGTTCTCATATCTGTTGATGATATACAGTCTCAAAAGAGCCTCAGAAGTGATCAATGCAAAGCTGCTGCTTTTGGAAGCGTAACACCTGGAACTCCGTGGCCTGGCAAACTGGGCAGATCATCTAGCTGAAGCCTGGGCAGTTTTCCAGCTCCGTTCTTTCCAAGCCATGCCAACCAATGCCACCAGGCAGTGTATCTAAGAGCCTTGACCATGTCACTCCTTCAGGTTCCATGGTGCGCTTGGTTCAGGCTTTTGTTTTACTTGGCACAGTTAAGATGATTGGCTGGCCTGAGCCTACACCACTGTGTATATGTTGGCTATAGTGTGGGTACACCAGATACTGTCACTTCGTTCTGACTTCACTCAAGGTGGGAAGGGCTAACACCTATGAACTCTTCCATTGCCTCGGTTTCTAAAGGCCTCTTTCACAGCCTTCTCTAGATTAGTATCTTGAAAGCAGGAATAGGCCCTAATTCTTGTCTTTTCCACATTATCCTACATTAAAATTTGAGGGTGGATCTTTATAAAACCTGTCTTGAACTTATGCATCTTTAAATGGCCTGCTTTAACTCATATAATTATTCCCCTTATTTTTTACTTAGAAAATTGAAAGTTTCTGCTTGCTTTTTTTTTATAATCACATTCTGAATTTAAACTCTATTTGTTAATCCTTTATACTGCATCAGCCAACCTACACTACTTTACAATGAATTCTAAGACCTTCTTCACCTGGGCTTTCAAATGATCCAAATCTACATGATCCAAAGCCACCATCCTCTATGGTCCTCATACGCTTTTCCCTGCATATCAGCCTACAGACAGAACTACACATTTGCAAACCTAAGAACAAGCTATAAGATCCTGGTTTCAGTACCTTTGAGTTACATGTTGGTTAAAAATCACTAAATCACTCAATCATTAGTCACCTTACCTCTTCAGTAATGGCTCTTTTTTTTCCCCTACTATGAAAAGCTGTGTAGCTAAAAGCTTATACTTGGCCCATGGGGATCCTTCGCATCTTGACTTAGCTTCCAGGACTAGAATACCATCTGCTCAGAGTTGTTATTATCCAACATTTGAAATCTATGCACCTAGTCAAGGAGTTCTTCATCAAATCTACTGGATTCAGTCTTAAATACTGAATAGTGAAGCTACCCAAGAGAATGTCAGTCTTGCTAGACACGGGAGAGTATTCTTTAAAGCAAATTGATCAACTGTTAACAACTTGACTGACCTTGGAGTCAGTTAACCTAAACTTTAAGGCAGGCAAAGGAAAATGAATAACAAGTAGTAGACTAAGCATTACTTAGAACCATGAGACACAGAACAGCTCGGGAAAGATCAAGTCCAAAGCAAGTCACACTCACGGCACTGCTCTGGGCTTTCATCGGAGCCATCTTCACAGTCAGGGTCCCCATCACACTGCCATCGGTTGGGGACACACTGGCCGTTGTTGCACACGAAGTCAGACTCAGCACATGTCTTCTTTACTAGAGAAGATTATTTTCAGGGTTAAAGTTGAGGTCATTTATCCAAGATCCTTGTCATCATTATTAGGGCTAAAAATACGTTTTGGCACGACTTTCTGTGAAAATATAGCCTAGGTGATTAATACCCAACTGCTAACATCCAGGGGAAACTTTAGAAAACTCTTTTTGTCCCCAGAAAAAGGTGTTCATTTTTGATTTGAGAGACATAGAGAATACTGAAATCAAGGAAAGACAAAAGTTGTCCATTGTATCACAATACAAGGGCACCATAAGATGAACTTTCTTCCTGTTTATAGTAGTGAGATTATGTAGCACTTAAATCTCTTTATGCATTTGTCATTTACATACTTCATAAATGTCACAATAAAATATCTGAGAATAGGTAACTTATAAAGGGAAGAAGCTTATTTTGGCTCTTGGTTCTGGAGACTGGCAAGTCTAAGAACATGGCTCTGGTAACCCCTTGGCTTCTCATGAGGGTACACTTCCATGCCATGACATGGCAGAAAAACACTGGGACCTAGAGGACACATGCGGAAGAGAAGAAACACAAGGGGAAGTCTTGCTTTACACCCATCTACTCTCTCCATAAAGAAGATTAAACTTCCAAGGAGAAACGCTTTATTCCTTCTTCCTGAGCTATTCACTTCTTAAATGCCTCACGCTTGCCTCCATTACACTGGGAATCAAATTTTAACATACATTTCAGAGCACACAAATCACAGCAATAAGTCTAAGTGCCAAACATCCTATCCTATGACTGGACCATAGCACAACTGTTTTTTAGGGACTGAATGTGTGTGTCCTTCCAAAACTCATATGTTAAAATAGTACTAGGAGGAAGGATCTTCGGCAAGTGATGAGGCCATGAGTTTGGAAAACTTACAAACTGGATTAGTGCTTTTGTAAAAAGAAACAGGAAAGCTTGGTTTTTCTCTCCCTCTTTTCATGGAGCAGACTAAGTCTAAGGAAGTCTAAGGAGAAGATGGCCACTTGCACATCAGAAAAAGATCCCCCACCAAACATTAGATCTCCAGGGCTTTGACCTTGGACTTTTTAGCCTCTAGAACTGTGAGAAATACATTTTTGTTGTTTAAGCCACCTGGTCCATGGTATTTTTGTTAGAGCAGTATGAATTAAGACACTTCTATGCATTTAATGAACAGATAGGTGGTGATGCCCCAGGATTGACTATTAAGTCTATTAAGGATTGACACCCTTACTGGTGTAATAGGGCAAAGGAACTCACCTAGTTGAAAAGGGAAAAAATTTAAAGGCAAATATAACAAGAGTGTTATACTTAGAATTCAAGGGAGAGTAGATTTTAGCCCTTCTAGTCAAAGGATGTTTTAACATCAACTAGCTAAGTCACTGAAACAGCCAGTGCTAATATTCACCTAAGGCAAAGTATCAATTCGGCTCCTAATTCTTCCTAGGACAAGTCTTTTCCCCAAAGCTTAGTGTTACAATGCAATTGGTGGTTCAAAGGGATACTGCTAATTATACCAAGAAAAGAATAAAGAAAAAGCAAACTGTGAAGCTTGTGCACCCTACTCATGAAGGAGTCACAGAATATGGAAGAGTCTTGACAAAGTAGCCAGATGGGACACCCTAGGCTTATCGGTCTTAGGTTATATTCTTCTTGCCTACCCACCTATACTTTCTACTTGAATTTCCATTTCAAAAAATCCTTTATAACAATAGTTATTGCTTCCAAATCCACTAAAAGTGCACAATTTGATGAAAATTTGAAAGGGGCCACTTCAAATCAGGTGTTGAAGATAGGTAGTGGACTCAGAGTTTGCCGCATACCCCTGGGCCATTTTAGCCTTAGATATTGCAAATTGGGGAGATGGTGGTGGTAGTTAATTCATCAACCCATCTTGAGTGGTAAAAATTTTGATGATCCAAAAAGGCTTATTTGTCTCTTTGAATTATGTAGCCAAGGAAACAAGAAAGGCCATGTTAGCTCTTAGACTCACATCTATTCCTAAAGTCACCTTAAGACATAAATCCTAGTGTTAGCATATTCAGTGCTATCCAATGCCGGTTCTCCTGACTGAGGAGGAAGAGGCCAGAGAGACTGCAAGGTTAGTTGATAAAATCCAACCTGTGATATTCTTCTGAAGTTAGAAGAGGGAGAAGGAGAATGGTCTTGGTTTTAAGAAGTAGAAAGTGTCATGATGATATGAAAGCTTGGATGTGTAACATTTGAACAAAGATAAACTGGAAAAATTGGTACGGAGTTCCTTTCTCTCCATGCGGAGCATAGACTGGGAGGGTGAAAAAAGACATTTGGACCAGGCTGTCCTAGTTACTTTCCTTGTTGCTGGGACATAATAACACATTAAAAAAGGAAAAGTTTTTTGTGGCTCACAGGTTGTAGAGCTTTCAGTCCATGCATGATTGGCCAGCTCCAGATAGATGGGGCATGGTGAAAGGGCCTGGTGAAAGAAAGCTGCTTACATCCTGGCATCCAGGAAGCAGAGAAAGTCAAGAAAGAAGACAAAAAGCCATGCCCCCAGTGGCCTACCTCTTCCAACTAGACCCCACCTACCAAAGCAAGTCAGCTATAAACCACCTCCTGAAAGCTCCACCTATGATTGCATGAGGCTTTCAAGGGACATCTATACGTAAACCTAACATTCTGCCCTTGGCCCCCCAAACACTTCCGGTACATCTCATTATGCAAAATGCATTTAGTTCATCTCTAAGAGTTGCCAAGATCCTAACAGATCTAGCATTGCTGAAAAGTCCAAGTCCAAAGTCTCCTCTGAGATTTCAAACAAACTTTTAGCTATGAGCTCCTATCAAAATCAAAAAGAAAGTTAAACACTGTTGACGTACAATGGCATGGAGTAACATTCCCATTCCAAAAGGGAGAGATGGGGGATAGAAACCAATGGGAACAAGACAAGGCTGAAACCCAGCAGGGCAAACATTAAATCCTACAGCTCTAGGTCCAACAATCAGGCAAGCTATGGATGTGAAATGGCTTAGATGGCCACTCCTACAGAGTTGCTGGTCATTGTAGCCCTCAGGGCTTCTCTCTTGGGCTGGCTTTGCTCAGTTTCTGTGGTTTTTCTCAGACATTTCATGTTGCTGGATTCTCCAACATTCTAGGGACTCCACTGCATTTTCAGCTTCGTTCTCACAGCTTTACACAATGCACACTGCCTGGCCTCCCAGACATTCTTCTGAAATCTGGGTGGAAACCTTCTTGACCCTACAACTCTTGCATTCTGCATGCCCATAATACCAGCACCACACGAATCATGCTAAGGTCAACCACCAGCTCCAGCAGTAGCTAGGCCCTTTTGCATCATAGCTGCAGGGGCCTCTGAGTATTTGGATGGCTGAGCATTGTGAATGGAATCTCAGGAAGCCAATTTCTTAGGCAGCCTTTCTTGAACAGTATGCCCTGGGGCTCTCTTCTCAAAGAAAAGTCTTTTGGTTTTTCTACTCTTGAGTTTGCAAAGGGTGAGGCCTTGAAGATTCCTGAAATGTCCTTAAGCTATTTTTTAAAAATTGTTCTCATCCAAAATACTTAGTTTCTTTTTAATGCTAATCTCTTCAGCAAGCAAGCTCTCCTGAACTCCATCTTTACGGGTGCTTTCTTTTTGGCAAAACTAAAAATGTTCAAAATGAGCTCTTTGCTCTTAATTTTCAGTACAAACCTGGCTAAAAGCTCCAACAGTATCTATAACAGTCCCATTGTTGGTCTGCCTTGAAATTTCCTCTGCCAGTTCAATTATTCTATTGCCTTAATCTCAGTCTCCCACAAAATCTCAGGACAGGAGCAAAATATTAGCAAATTTTCTGCCAGAGCATAACATACATGATCTTGAGTCCAATTGCCAATGTGTCTTTCTTCCCAGCTGAGACTTCCTGAGCCTGGTCTTTACTATTTTTATCAGCATTCTGGCTTCGTGAGCTCAGACCAGAATCTCCTATCAAGCTCTGCTTTATAGCATTCTAGGGTTTCTTGAGTTGGCCTCTCCAAACTTGTCCAAACTCCTTCTACAAACTGAATCAATTCTAAAAGCTATTAAACCACATGGTCAAGTACAGTCATCTGATGAACCCACTTCTCTGGTACCAAAATCTGTCTTAGTTACTTTTCTGGTTACTGAGACACGATACCCAACACCAATATATTGAAGAAAGAAAAGTTTATTTTGGATGATAGTTTGTAGAGGTTTCAGTCTATGCATAGTTGGCTGACTCCAGGCAGAAGCAGCATGGTGGAAGGGTCTGGCAGAGGAAAGTTGCTCACATTATGGCATCCAGGAAGCAGAAAGAGTTGAAGGAGGAGTCAGGAAGGGAAATATAGCCTTCTAGGCCACAGCTCCAGTGACTTACATGTTTCAACAAGATGCTGCATATTAATAGCAAGTCTGCTATAAGCCTCATAATGCAATCACCTCCCCAAAGCCCCATCTATGATCACACAGGCTTTCGGAGGGCATCTAGATACAAACCATAACACAGACTTTGAGATATGACTAGAGATTTAGAGGTGCTGCAAGGGGAAGAAAACTAGCAGTTACACATTTCAGGTGCCTCAGCTGCTGATTAACCAGCACAGCATAACTCAAAAAAAATAAAGGAGTTACTGTGGCTAAAAGAAGCACATGGCTCATGGGATCTAAGCTGAAGTTGACTAAATATGACAGTAGTTGTCATGCTTAAAAGAAAGAGCTCTGCTGAAAATTGTAAGCAAGTTTCATAAAGAAAAGGTTATACAGGGAAATCAAGAGATGCCTTTAGAAGTTTTAATCAATCATGAACTTCTTCCCTTTCATAAAGAAGCATCTCAAAATAAGCATTCTCAGTAAGGCTTCCACTTTCTTTTCCTACCTTCATATCTCAGAGGTGGTGACAAATTCTGGCCAAGGATAGATTTAATTTTCCCACTTCAAATAATCTTGATTCACTGTACTATCCATTTACATACTTCCTTCACACAAACCCTCCTACTATAAGGATAGCAGAAGGTATTTATGCAAAAATTATACTAGGAAATGTCAGTGTTTTACCCTAAGATGATCCAGACTCATTTCCACTGAGTTGGATGATAAAAGAAGACTTCTACAACATGAATGAAATAATTACTTTTTAAGAAAAATCAATGGGTTTTGCCCAATACATAATTCTGAATAGAGGGAAAACTGCTACTTACACAAAAGAAAACAGATGAGAAGAGTGAGGTTCTCCTAGTGAGATGTTTTATGAGAGAACTATATTACCTAGGTAACCCAGAAATAGCACAGGACCCAGTGTTTTCCAAGTAGATTAAAATCTTAGTGTTAAATACAAATAATAGAAATGTCTAGCACTGAAGAACTATTCCTGGTCCTGAAATTGGAGGAAAGCTGTTTCCCTGAGACTGCAGAATGGACTTTCTGTGCTCCCAAAGGAGCTACTGATCTGCTCATTGACGTAAAACCCCATGATGTATGGAGAGAGCAGGCACAGGACAAGGTTTGTCATGATGTCTACTCTAAAACATTTTAATAATGTACTCTAAAACATTTTAGAAAAAGGGATAAGATGGCAGGCAACAAAACCTTCATTTAGCTTCTATTTTTCTTCTGCATTTCTCGTTGTATAGGAAAATATATTTATACATAACATCTTTTAAAAGGTAGATGGCAACAATAGCACCTATAATCACACGCAATATTCCTTTAGGACTTGAACAACACAAAACAAAAAGTAAACTTCAGCATGAATTGGGGCACCTAAATGTGACCTTGACATCAGTTCTCAGCTGTTTGTTTGACATGAGTTTACGTAGACTGCACACATAGGCATTTCTCACAATGCTCTTTTGATAGATAGAGATCAATGGTATAATGTTATATTCCCATTCCCTGGGAGAAAGAATGTCTTCTGCCCTGCCTAATGCTTTAGAATCATCAACTATTGTGAGAATTACAGAAGAATTTTTATCTGATCTTTGTTATATGATGGCTTATAGTTTCTATATTAGAAATTAATTAACCTCTTGAAACTTTGGGGGATTTTGTTGTGTCTGTAGCCTGCTTTATTTTCTGGGATCAAGACAATTTGTGAATTAAAAAAAAAATTACTTCTAAGCAATCTTCTATTTCTGGCCCTCCCTTCCCTTTCCTTATCTTCCTATACCTCATATTTGCTGACCTAAGATAAACCAAGTCCTGTCACTTGAAAGGAGCTCCATTTTACCTCCAGCCTTCCATACTCAAGGTGATAACCCCATGTCAAACATTCAGTTATAGTCCTCTAAAAGGAGCAGTATAGATTCTTTGGACTCTGGTTCAAAGCAATTCTTTGGAATGGATTTTATTTGCAGAATTTCAATATATTTGCAAAAACTTAGGTAATATCATCACATTTCAATAAAACGCATAAGTCCAAATGAGGTGGCAATTGAAAGGATCAAACTCTTTACTTACCACAGTTTTTTTCATCACTGCCATCAACACAGTCTTCATCTCCATCACATTTCCACAGGAGAGTTATACAGCGGCCATTCGTGCACTGGAATTGGGAAGGGTCACATTTTGCTTTTCTCCCTAGAATCAAGAAGGAACATTTAGCAAATCAAGGAAAGAAGGGTGGTAAGTTAAGAGATACGAAATTACTCAGAATCCATTGATAGTGATCCTTTCAAAAGTACAGCTACTGATTCAGTGGGTTATAACATTCTAGGGGCCAGCAATGGATGGATGGGTCTTGAGGTGGTAACTGTGTGTAATGAGATGAGCTGGGCATACCCTAATGATCAACACTATGAGGCATAAGCAAGGGACTCAGTTCTGGTTAATGGGATGTAAACAGACAGGGTATATGTGACTTCTAAGAAATACAGTCAGGTGCCACATCATGACGTTTTAGTCAATATAAATTGTATAAACAACAGTGATCTCATAAGATTACAATGGAGCTTAAAAATTCCTATCACCTAGTAAACACACAGCTGAAGAAAAGGCAAAATAAAACTGAAGAAGAGAAAGAACAAGTTCAAGAAAATTCACATGGAAAGGTTTAGCAGAAACTCTTGCAGAAGTCAACAAGCTCCTTTAAAAGATTGAAAACATGGACCCCCGATGCTGAGCGGTTTTCATTCATAAAGAGCAATGTCCATGGAACTTACAAGCAAATCTATAATGAAAAATGAAACAAGCAAGCAATCTACTGTGAGCATGTTTCTGAGGAGAGTGACAGCTACTCAAGAGCCTCAGGCAAGTCTCAGGAGGCATCCACAGGAAGGCACTGTTAGCACAGGCAGTGACAGCTCCACGCATGTTCTTGCCTGTGGAGCCTTTCCAGTAGGACAAGATGTGGAGGTGGAAACCAGCAAGACTGATAATGCTGACCCTGCACAGCCTAGTGTCTTGGTTTTTTTAACAACAAAAAGTTATTAAAAATTTAAAATAGAAAAACTTATAGAATAATATAAAGAAAAAATTTTGTGCAGCTGTACATTGAGTTTTAAGGCGGTATTACACAGAGTCAGAAAGTTAAAAAGAATATAAATCAAAGAAAATTATGGTAAGGGCTGGGAACATAGCTTGGTGGTAGGGTTCCTGCTTAGCTTGTACAAGGCCCTGGGTTTACTTCCCAACACCAAAAATCAAACAAACAAAAAAGCCTCGCAGCACATTAAGGATAATTTATTAAGAAAAAAGAAAAATATCTTTTTCATAAATTTAGTGCAGGCTAAGTGTGTAGTGCTTATAAAGTCTAAAGTAGTAAGCACAGAAATGTCCTAAGCCTTTCCCATTCACTCATTGCTTACCCAAAGCCACTTCCATTCATGCTAAGTGTACCATTTTTTCTTTTGTACTGTATCCTTACTGTGCTTTTTCTATGTTTAGATATGCAAATAATTATCACTACATTGCAGATGCCTAACAGTGTTCAGTACAGTACTATGCTGTACAGGTTTGTAGGCTAGCAGTATATGCCGTATAGCCTGAGTCTGTACAGTAGGCTGGACCATCCAGGTTTGTATAGGTAAATGTCATGATATTTGGACAGCGACAAGATGGCCTAACATTGTAATTCTCAGAACATATGCCCATCATCAAATGCTGTATGGCTGTATCCTTAAAAGGACAGGGGACTCATTTTCCTTCCCTTCATCTCTTTTTCTCTTTTTTTTCTTTTCTTTTTGGTACTGGGGATCAAACTTGGGTCCTTGCGGTTGTGCAGCAGGCAGTGAAACCACTGAGCTAAATCCCCGGGCCCCTTCATCTCTTTTTGATCCCTGAAAATTGGGCATGGTAGCTGGAGTAGTGATCTTGGGCCAGTGGAGCCAGACCGTGATGAAAGGAACTTAGATTTCCCAGAGACCACAGAGGCATTGCATCTGCCTCTTGTCTCATTTTCCTCATCTGTGTAGGTGACCAGTGTAACTATAAGTGTACAGCCAAGCCTAACACTTTCATGATATTTCTCTCCCACATCCATACATCATGTTCCTATCACAAGCAAAGTAAAGCAGATTTAGAAGGAAGTAAGGAGAGACTGGAAATTGTTCCTCATCTTAAAAATTGAGGGCTAATTGCAAAAACACATGCTTACAAAATAGTGCCAAGATAAAAACATCAAGAAAGTATACATAACAGACAGAAGGAGATAATTTCTAATTTAGTAATGAGAAAAAAGGAGAGTGAGCACCACAGAAATGGATTCTGTTTCTGAGCTCAGTTCTCTTTAGCTCAGATAGGCATTTAATTCAGTGTTATGAACTGAGGCTTGGAGGGCACTCAGGTTATTGGCTGGCATGCAATAGCTAATGTTCAGGTGTTTCTTATCATTAGCAGTTCGGTTCTTCTGGAGGTTGTGATTACTTTGAGATAAAAGGCATGGATGTAGTGACTTAAGCCAGCTTCCTGCAAATACTGGAGGAAACTAATGGAATCATATAGTGCATGCAGATTACTGGGGGAGGGAGGCTCCTAGCAGAAAGCCTTCCGATTCCCTGCCACCTCACAGCATCTGCAGCTGGGACACACTGGCATGGGAACAGAGACAAGCACAGGCTGGAACTCTTGTGCTATGTGTACAATACTCTAGTCGGTCCCCTCGTATCAACTACTCCTTGCTGTGGGGGAGAATTCTGCACTTTGTGAAATTTCCAGGCAGTTTAAAATTTGATCCAAGTAAAGATTACCATTTGAGTGTGGTTATCTTCAGGTACAGCAACAATATTGCCTTAAAAGCTGTATTTACCACTCAGCTGCTAAGAGTTTGGTTCAGCTAGAACCCAGCTACAAAGCAATATAGTTTGTTGGTATTTCCTGTCAACATTTCATAATATTTATTCATTTTACAATATTTTTGCATATTGAATATTAGGGAGTTAGACAAGGGAATAAGAGGAAGGATAGATTGCTGTCAGGAAGCATGGCCTATTTATTTTTATGCCACTAAGGCAGGCGAGAGTTACTTGGCTGTCTCCTCTCCTCACCCCATTGCCACTGTAGTCTCAGGTTGGTGTTGGCACCATACAGGCCATTTGCTAGGGTTTATCCTTACCACCACTGAGCACTGGGAATGGGAAGAGTCTACTTTGGGTACTTTATTTTAAAAAGCAGAAAAAGAACAATTTGCAGTCAGAGACTATAGGTATCAATGCACTTGAAAAGAATAGTTCAGCTGCCGTTAGAATAGTGAAAGCTGAAAAGCTCTGAAAAAGTCTGACTTTTTCAAGGGTTTTAGTTACTGAGGATTAAGTCAAAAAGAGACAGAGGGGAAAAAATATGGGAGGGGGAAAAAATGGAAACAAGGTCTTTGTGGGGGGGGAGGGGAGGGCAAGGGAAAGGGAAAGTAAGAGCCAGGGGACTCACGTAATGGTACAAGATCCCAGTGATGAATGTGGCTGTATTGTATGCCTAGGATGTACCAATAAAGTTAATTGGGGGGGGGACAAAAACCCTGACACTGAAATCTACATAGGCAGAATAGTAACCATATATTCAGACTTGGATAGAGACTTAAATGTAGATGCCAAGTCACAGCTTGTAATAGCTAAAGCTTGGAAACAGCTCAAGTACCCATCAACTGGAAACTGGATAAAAAAGATGTGATTTTTTAATAAAATGGAGTACTACTCAGCCATAAAGGATGAGACACTAGAGACATTTATAGCTAAGTGGATGGACATTGAGGTGATACTCTTAAGTGAAATAAATAGGACACACATGTGTAAATACTGAATAGTTTCTCTGGTGTGAGAAACTGAAAGTGTAAATAAGGACTAAAATGATTAAAACAAGTAATTGATAACTTGAGATAGAAAAAGGTCCAAAGGTATAGGGGTGGTGGGAGGGGAAGGGGAAAGGGAAGAAGGGAAAGGAAAAATTTTGAGACAAGAAAAAAAATGGAAATGAAATCTATGTAAGTAGGGAAGGGTGGAGGGGGTGAAGGGTGCACAGGTAATGGGGAAAAAAATAAGAACTAAGATACATCATGTACAGGTACAAGCACCCGATGATAAATGTAAATGTACTGTATACCAAAAATGTACCAATAAAACAATTAAAAAATATATAGAGATGCCAAGTGAAGACCTTCCATTTTAGGGTTAGGTACCTAGAAGACCCCCTTAAAAATGAGCTGATTTTTTGTTTCTACAGATTTTGTACATGATCGTGATGTCCTGGGCTAAAGTGTGGAGATGCAATATTCTAAGGCTGACACTTTTCCACTATCACCTTAAAGAAAATCTCTGAATTTGGCTGTAGTACATAAGCTATCAATAGTTATAAGTTTATTAAACTCCCAGCAACTTTGCCTCAAGAGTATATACCGAGTAGGCTCATAACATAGAAGCATTTTCTTAGTGTTCATTTCAATGTCCTATGATAAAAAGGAGTTTAATTTCTACCTTTTCTTATCCCAGATGTGTCCACTTCACCCAATACTCTGCCTGATTTTCATAAAACTTTTACCATCACACACACACACACACACACACACACACACAGGACACTCCATTAAGAAGGAGGACTAATTGGTAGTAGGCGTACAGTGTGCTCTAACATATCCCTACTTGTCTAAAAGGGGCGGGAGACAGGGGTGGGAGCAGGAAGGCAAGCTGGCTTTTTAAGAAACCCTTTAAGGACAGGCAAATAAAGACCTTAAGCTTTATGGCCATGCCTCTTAGCTTCCGAAGCACTTTGTTTCGAGACGGCTACGCGGCAGAAAGTGCTCCCTAATTCTGTTAATTCCCTGCTTCATGCAGAGCAGGAAGAGCTCAGATGCTAAATTGAATGCTGAGACCTCAGCCCCTTGACTGCAACACTGTGGGTATTTTTCCTCCAAGTTCCAGAGAGAGTCTCCCTTGCCCTCTCTGGTGCTTGACTGGGACTGGTACTGTACAAAGGTCCAGGAGAATTTAAAGCACCAAATGAGTAAAGAAGGTTTAGGTTTCCAAAGCTTTGGAGGATTATAGGATTGCAGCCCTGTAGTCTATTCCCATCCATGAAAGTTAAATCTCAAGTTTAGTACTACATTTTCATAAAGGGAGCAGGCTGAGCTTGAAATCATCAATACATAAGGTTCT